CAGTTCTGTATCAAGTTACCCCCAAACGCTGTCATCCCCCCCTCTCTGCTATATATTTATATTGACAAAAAGACGGAGACTGGGATGGCCACTTCTGGCGTATTACCCATGGTCATATAGCAATATCAAGCCGCAGACTTGAATAATCATGGATTCAAACACAAACTCTTTGATGAGCAAGCACTATTAAGCCCAACATTCTTAAGCATTGAACCATGGGCTCAGTTAATCTAACCTGATGCTGATAGGCGGAACCCCTCACAGCTTTTTTCTATAGCGGCAGAATATTGACAAATCACGCATCAGGGGTTTGTGGTTAGTATCTGTGCGTTTAGAGACCAGGTTAGGCAACGAGCCCGCGACGCAATGGTTAGAGCGTTGGACGTCTAGCCAACAAAGCCGCCAGTTCGAGCCTCGGAGCCGCTACCCCTGGGGTCGGGTATGGTTGGCCTATAAAATAACCAGCCTATAATATGCTGGCCGTTGAGCGGCTGCTGGTGAGGCTCGAGAGCGAGCCCCAAGGCACAACGACACGAGTGACTTCCGTGCCGATCGGTGAGCGCCCATCTACCATGCATACATGTATAAATACCTACAGACATTACCTATAGTCTGTCGTATTCCCCCTCTCACAATTCTAATGAAGTCAGCTTGCCGACCTCCTGGTCAAGGAAAAAATCCATGTATACTCACTAAATACTGTGATAGCGATGACACAAATCCACTTACTGAAGTGATATTAGTAGCATTTCACCTTTAACGTAAATTCGCATTTCTTCTTTAGGTCCCAACTCCGTTCACAGGCGCAGGGGCCGGCAGACTTACAGCCGGTATCAAACACTTGAACTGGAGAAAGAATTCCAGTACAGCCATTATCTTACGCGTCGCCGTCGCATCGAGATTGCGCACAGCCTCTCTCTCACAGAGAGGCAGATAAAAATCTGGTTTCAGAACAGGCGGATGAAACTGAAAAAGGAACGACAACAAATAAAAGATCTCAACGAGGAGATGAATCGGAGAATAGAACAGAGCAATCGACAGGCTCAGCAGCAGCAGCAGCAGCAACAACAACAACAACTATGTGACCAGCCATCGTTGAATGAAAACTACTTTGCCAAGGGCCTAGCAACCGACTGTACAGGTGTCAGTGAACGAGGTCTAGGCAACGATCTCCTTCTCAGCCTGCGCCTACGAAATGGCCAGAAATCACTTAGCACCTTTACAGAGAAGGCATCAGACCAGTTACTGGAACAAAATGCTGGTTTGGATCAGCGGAATGACCGTCTCTTGAGGGCTTATTCTATACCAACACCAGCAGAGCCCACATCAGTTTTTGAGGGATGGAGATTTAAGTCGATGTTATTGCCTGCATATGAACACCAGAGCGATCTTTTCACGTCACACCAGAGTGGAGTTGAGCCGGAGCACCATTCCATCGAGCATGGAGGTCGGGTCTCTTAGGGAACTTAAAAAAATGATTAATTCATATACGCACAAAACTTGGAAAGAGATTCGCCAAAACCTTATTTTATAATAAAGATGCCGATAGAGTGTAAACGTTTAAGACAATAAATTAATAGTAAAGACCTTATAATTTCTGATTAGTAGATTAGTTGATACAAAGTTGCCAGATTCAACAAAAAATGGCGGTGGCGTGCCTTCATAACGGAGGTGCTTTTCGGTAGTAAGCTCTCCTACGGCAAAATATCTTCGGCATATGGCATCAATCCGAAATACCCAATAAATAAGTAGCGATGGTCCTGACGTACATTAAAATCGGAAGTTATGTTACTTTCTAGCCGATTCGGGAAACACGTACTAATCATTTTATAAATTGGGATTTTAGTTTCATTTTGAAAAAAAGAGATTCCTCTATAATGCATTGTGTTATTCCTGGAAATTTTTTTGGAAATCCCCACAACGAAGAAAGCCTAGTGAACTTTTGTGCGCTGAAGTTGGCCAAGATCGTTTCGGACGAGTATGCATGAAGGTCATTGAATAAAATCTCCATTTTCAAAGACACTAAATAAAAGATCCAATGGCACGAGTGAGGACATCCACCTATCTATATTGTCGTGTCAAAAAATGGTGTTCAGCTGAAGGTTTCAAGTGACGTTTTAAACATCAATAAGGTGTCCGTTTTTAAACGTTACGACCAGGAAAAGTTCAAGAAAAAAATGTTTTTTGTGAACAACTTAAAAAAATGACCAAGCATCCGATGTGCTCAAAACGATCCAAAAGTTTCTTAATCGTCGTGAATTAGCATAGGGTTTTTTTCTATTTATTTGTCACATTGGAGCTTTGGTAATTATTTTAAAATGTATTTGTCCTGATCAGGGAAATAACATCTATACTGATAATTTACTGTGTCTTACAGCTTGAGACTTTGCCGTCCAAAATCCTGCCAAAGGTGTCTAGTGAACTGATGGAACTAGCGATGCAAATAGTCAGTGTTATTTCTGAATATACGGTAAACAACCGTCTGTTTCAGGTATGTTGTAAAGAGAATGGTGTGGATCTTGCATTTTTCTGTATTGGCTAAGTCGTGGCCATGTCTTAGCACATGCAATAGAAAATCAGGAGGCACTTTAAATTCCCCTAGGATCTATAGTTTTTTCTTGGAAATCTACTTTAAAAGAGCATTCTATCGTTAATATGGCGTATTTGGTAGATAAATTCAGCCTTCCCCATAAAATAGCCTCATACTTAGTTACTAAGAGTTTAATGTTCCCCACTTGTTGCATATTTACCATAGTGTGACACTGAGCTGGGGAAATTATCTCAATAATTTACGAAATACAAATACCTACCTTCACAAAGGCAGTTCAAATTTGCAATAGGTGCGACTTCGAAAGCCTGGCACAGGGGTATGTGGACATCCTGAAAAGTTCAGTTGCGGCTAAGAAATTTTAATTTTTTTAGAAAAGATCGCACTAGATATGAGCTCATTCGATGGACGGCCTGAATCGTAAATGCCAGCGGTTCAAACCTTAAAGAGCCTGTCTCGTCGACTGTTTCTGCGTGGATCTTCAAGCTCCAATCACATGACTGTCCGCCCATGCGTTCGTATACCAAGCCAACCTATTTACCAGTTTGTGGCGCAAAGCCACGTAGCCTGCAGGTAGTTCCGTATGGCAGTTGAATAAGCTAGCATCTGATGGACGAGTCTCTTGCGGTTATTTTTTCGTGTGAATATCAAGTGAGCCCGCGATATTGATCACGCCGAAGGCAGACTTGCGGCTAGTTTGGCTAGCGACTATTTCCATCATAAATTCCGTCCAACATCACAATCGTTAATTTATGTTCATGCATTCTTCCTCCGCCCTTCTCACCTTCACCAATTCCATTCAGTTCAACTAAAAGCCTGTATTACTTTCCAATCTC